CATTTGCTATCAACCAAAACTCAAATGAATTCAGACTGTTGAATTAATTGGACTCAGCTCCTGTTACCCACCTGTTACGCACCTACATTTCAATGCATTTCCAGGATCTTCAGCATGGGAGGCTGCGCAGATCTGCTCATTTGCTCTGCTTTTAAAACTCCTAAGATTAGTTTCAGCACAAATGCACTGTATCAGGATTTTAACCTCTTTTCCCAACCCCAGTTTAAGATTACAGCCTGAGACACAGGGCTGTAAAAAAAAAGTCTTTAAAAATCTCATCTTTGTTAAATAGGGAGCTCTAGCCGGTTTTCACAGCTCCCTGAAAAAAAATCTTCTTAAAAATCAAAGCCCACCCAACGAATCAAGTTATCCTTAATAAAATGCCAGTAACAAGTCATTAATACTGCATGATTTTAAGTGACAAAACAAGGAAACATAACTTTGACTACCCTTGGGCTTTCCTTAAGAAATTGGGTGGACTTCTTTAGGAAAAGATCTCCATCTGGTGGCAGGCTATAAAAAAGATCAAGTCAAAACTACAGAGGTGTTACTTTCCCTTGAGAAGACTGCCGTTACTAGAAATGGAGTGGATTTTGTTGTGGCTGGGTTTTTTCTCAATAAATTTCTACACCTTATATAGCACAGACTGAGCAAAGCATCTTTTAGTCTTGCTAAGCCTGTCCTAAATGCAAGTCTAGCAAAAGCATTTGAGCCCATCTGGCTCACGTATCCCCTCGCGCAATTTTTCCAGCTGACAGTGCTGTGGGAAAGACGTCCCCCAGCTGTGGGTGACGAGAAGCAGCCACCCATTGCCACCTGCACCTGCAGGCAGATGTGTCCGGGGTATTAGGACTCACCTACAGACGATGGCTACATCGCTCTATAGCGGGATAAACAAGGCGGTTCTCCTTCCCCACTGCTGCAAGGGCAGTAAGACTCTTAGAAGCTATAATTTGCTGTGGGGATTATGTTATACAGAGGAAAGGTAACCTTCCCCGGTACGAATCACCCCTACGCCGGGGTCACTAGAGGAGGGGGTTGTGCTGTCGTAACTACCCGGGGAGCTGCACTACCATAACTTTTTCTAAAAGCAGATGAGAAACACTTCTCATGAACTGAACTACAGTGGAGCAGTCCCCAGCATGCTCAAGCGCGTCCCTTCTGAGACCTTTACAGACAGAGCGTCAGTACGTATTTTTAGCAGATGACAGCAAAAGATTCTGAAAATTTCACCTTGAGTTCTCTTGCGTTTCTTCGGTGAAAAACTTCTGGTTTTGGAATGACTTCTGATATCGCGATGTTTTAATTATCACATTTCATTTTTTTCAGTCAGCTGTAAGACTCACTGTCGTATGACAGCAAGGCACCACGTTAAGCTGGGTGGAACCTTTTAAATTTATCATTAAAAACACTGAAAAAAACCCACACAGGATATTCAGAATATAACAGGCTAATCACGGAACCTGGGAACAAATTACCTCTTACCTCCTTCCGTGTCACTACGAGTGTATTTTCTAACTCTTCCTTCCCTCCAGTTGTAGCTAGACCAGCCCAGACTTTCTGTGACCTTCTTGAGAGTGGAGTTTTTATTTTTTTCTAATTTTATGCCATCGCTGCTAAATGTATGCTTTTATATAACATTAAGCCATCAACAGATATTGAAAAAAATATTATTGCCAAAATAACTTCAAAGTATGCACGTTTATTTGCATCTTTACATGTAATCAATTTCCCAACAGCACTTTTCAATTTTCTCTGTTGATTCTTTTTGAATTTTCTCCCTTTTTTCTAGGGGTAGCTGGCACCAGAATAGCTTGCAGAAACCAGCTTCCAGAGTTCATGCCCTCTCGGGAAAAAAATTCTCCATAATTTAAGAAAAATCAGCGGTCTCTCTAATTCTACTTACATGGCTATAGTCTTCACTATAACAGCGCTACATCCATTCTGTAGCGCAAATAATTGGTATGCAAGAAATGCAATATATCAAGAGCATTCAAGCTCCCGGTGTCAATATCTCACACCTCTTCTTACTTCTTTTCTTTTCATATGTGGAGAAAAAAAAAATCCATAGGTGAAATAATAATGAAGGCCAAAGTTCCCCTTCTTCAGAATACTGAATTAACTATATGAGCACAAGCGATTCCATGACAACTCTTGTAAGAAATTGCATTGGTTACATCAGATCTGCAAGGATAAGCAGTCACTGGTTGTAACTGGCACAAAATGAAATTATTTCTTTGGGAAAGGAGAAAACAGACTTGTAGGTCTTAAACGCCACTGAGTAATATTTCTGCTGGTGGCACCTATTAATCAAAATGATTCTGTGTAACAGGTGTAGGTGGAAGGACCATCCCACTGAGAGAGACATCCTTTCCCCTGGCTGTAGGTGAAAAGCTACCAACAGACAGTTTAACTAATATCAGTAAATAGAGTAAAAAAAAAAAAAAAATCATAGAAGCTACGCTAAATTTAAAAGCAGAAGCCTAAGCAATTTCATCTCTCATTACATTTTAACCCACAGTACAGAACTCAAAACCTGTAATTGGGTAGGAATTTTCACAAGCCACTGCCTGGAATTTTATGATCTACTTCTGAAAAAAAAAAAAAAAGCCAGTATTATTTTTGTTTTTCCTGACTGTAAATACACAACTGTTCTAGATGGCCTTTCAAAGCAATGCATTAGCAGACCTGTCATTAGTTTCATGTGCCCAGGCGTTTCCATTTTACAAAGCCCAGTGAGAATTTCAGACTACTGTATTCCAGTTGCAAGCGTGGGCAAACTAATCTGAAACCGGAATTTTCTATCGGCACAATGTAAGGGAATCCTCAGCTCCTGGAAGCTTTTCTCACGTGGCTTTGGTGAAAAGCCTCAGAACAGCCCAGCTGTATTTCCAGCTTGGATGTTTGATTATGCCGCACACACTGGTAGCCAGAGGAAAGTGTGGTGTGTTCAGAAGTACGACAGAAGACAAGGTGCCACCCCACCCATGAAGTCTACAAACTAACTCAACTCAAACAGAGGGGCACTCTTCGGCTTAGGGTGTTGTCAGGGAATCTGAGAGACCGTCTAAGCCACACGCATCCAAGTCAGGATGAACTCCACGGTTGTGATGCGACAGCCAAAGCCACGACAGCAGCAGCCTTTCCCCTGCTTAAGCTTGTGCAGCTGAAGGTTCCCCTTTTCTGCTCCCCTCCTCCCTGCCCAGCTAACAACTCCAGCCATGCCCGGGTGGAGAAACAGCAGTCATTCCCCTTTTCCACAGTAACCCTCAGTGAGGAAGCACTGCAATCGCCCTGCCTGCCAAAAAGCAGATCCAGTATTTTTTCGGCACCCCCACAGCTGTCATTTGCTTTCCTCGAGCCTCAGCTTCTGATGGAGAACAATACCGCCTCTTGCCTGCTGCCGCACCTTCCTCTGCCGCAGGGAAACAACCCAGTATTCCTCTAGAGGAGGTAATGTGCCTTGGCAATACGGGACTGCGAATACCGGACATGCCTTCTGTCAGTCTTTTACAACTCTTGCATGATATTTTTCTGAAGATAGAAACTACTGTAACGCAGCGCACAGTTAATTGCAGAGCCATACTCAAAGCGCAGTTACGGACAAGCGGCAAGACCATACCAAAGGAGGTTTCACCCGGGCCTTTCACTGCCTGCAGCAGTGTCAATGGTTTCATTCGTGACTTCAGTGACAGAAGAGGGAGGCCCCCGTGCACGCGTCCTAACGGGACAATACCCAGTACTGGCGATCGATGAGCACTGCAACTCCTGATAGCTACAGCGCCGCACCCAGCTGCTTTCCACAGAATGACAGAATGGCAAGGGCTGGAAGGGACCTCGGGAGATCTGCCTTTCCGCAGATCAGATAAAGAATGGCGATACAGTGTTAAAAAGTAAGGCTAAGAAATCTAGTCTTTGGGAATTTTATGTCAGGATCTTCACTAAGCACTGCAGTTACGTGAATTGTTCTGCTGAAGGCATCTATGTTGGGTGTAGGTGTGAAGGATTGCCCATGCCAGAGCAGAAGGCAATTCCTGAAGAAACTGTGATCCACACAGTGCCCACACCAGAGCAGAGGGGAAACATGAGGGTGAACGAAGGAGCTGCAGCGAGAAACTGCTATGTACTGACCACAGCCCCCCTGCCTGGCAGGGTAGAAGAGCTGGGAGCAAAGTCAAGTCTGGGACAGCAGGGAGGGAAGGTGTTGTTTCAATGTTTGTCTTTTTGTTTGTTTCTCACTACCCAAATCTATTTTAATTGGCAGTCAGTTCATTTTCCCGGAGCCGAGTCAGTGTTGCCCACAATGGTAACTGGTGAGAGATCTTCCCGCCTTCAGCTCGCCCCACGAGCAACCTCATCCTATTTTCTCCCCCCCATCCCGCTGAGGAGGGGAAGCGAGCGAGGGGCTGGGGGAGCAGCTGGCTGTTAGCCAAGGCTAACTTGCCAGAGTCTCACTTTCTGTAAGAAAATTGCTCATGAGCCTTCTTTCAAGACTCTCCCAAGCCCAAGCTTTCATTTAAATCTCAAAGGAACACACACTCATGAATCTGAAGATGAGTGCCAGCATTGTTTGTGCAGCTACAGTTCAAAGCATCTTCCAAATCTTAATAAACGTTAAGTGCTCACCAAGACCAATCCCTCGTTTCCTATTAAAATTATAATAGGAAAAAAGTGTTTTTCTGTTTGCTTGATTGTTTTTTTTCCCAAAGACATGCTGACTTGGGAGTAGTTCCATAATTTCTATTAGAAAACAGAAATTGCCTTATCCCAACAGGACAACCTTACTGATGCTCTTAGAGGCCAGTCTGGTTTTCACCCCCTTGCGCTGAGCAGGCGATGATCATTGCTGCTGCATCAGCTGTTTACCTGCTTGCATTGCCACAGCTTTCTAGAAATGAAAATTCACCCAGGCCTTTCCTACTGCTGAGACAATTTAGCTAACTCAAACACAAGACGCACTGAGGAAATGAAGAGTCCGATTGTCTTGATTATTAATAAGACCTCGCCTTTGCAGGACTGCAATTATTTACCTTTATTTAAGAGACACTAAGAGACAGTGCACCAGATGTTACCGAACCACAAAACCAGAGGAGAGTCCTGCATTTCTTCTTACAAAGTTCAGCCAGCCAAAAAGAATAAATAATGAAGTACATCGGTTTCTGCATACACTAAACAGATCCATTAAAGTGGATTTATCTGCACCATTTCCCTTAAATTACAATCATGCCCTACTTCTGGGCAATTTTCTATATTTTGTGAAATTATGTTACTGGCGATCTAATCTCTTGTTTGGTGGCACTGTTACAGCGGGTTATGAAATACATATTGGGCTAATACTGGAAGTCCTGCTGACCTGCGAGTCTCGCAGCAAAGCCTGAATATTGCTAGATGGCGGAAGAGACAGTCGTATTACCTGCATCATTACTAAAAAAGAGGAAGAATAAACTTTACCTAATGTTCCTTTTCACTATTCCTATGCGTTTTCTAAAACAACAGCATGCTCATGTAATTCAAAAGAGTGCCAAGCAATGAGTAATGCAAGAAGTAGGAGGAAGAATGCTCCTGCCTGGTGCTGCAGTTCTACCTTTTATCTCGTTCACGAGTTCCACTTTGCGGGAGACAAACACAGCAGTGCAGCATTTCTCTCCCGGCCCCTTGTCATTTTAGGAGGCATTTTATTCTCTCTCACTATGTACACTCTCACTGGTCCTGTCAGTAGAGCCATTGCCATTAAATTATGAATATTCGGATATGTAGATGAGCACAGTATGCTCACGTAGCATACCAGAATAATTCCCAGCAGAAATAAGGCAATTACTTAATAGTACACAAGGGTTTTGCTACCCTTGAGCAACACTTAGGTTTTATTAAACAATTAAAATTCTCTGTGGTTTTCATTCACTTGCCTGAGAAAAGAACATTTAAAGAACATGTTTTCATTAGGGCTGGAGAGATGTTTGGAGACAGCAAAAATCTTACCTAGCACGTGTTTATAGGTCTCCCAACACTAAACTTGTAAGAGCAGATTTAATCTCATAATCTTTGCCCAAGTGGCACAAAAGTCAACCAGTTTGGACCATATCACACATTTATTCTTAAAAAATAAACAAATTATTCTTTCACCATTTCAAAAATTAAGATAAATTCACATACCTGAATTTTTACATCTCTGAAAAACAGCTTCTAATACATACCATACTTTATTAAAAACATAAGCCAAGAACAGAACCGACTTTTTTTGTTTAAATCAGGATGAGCTCTAAGAAATGCCAAGTCTTCCAAATTATTCTGAACTCAAGGTTCGCTATAGTCCCATAGCCCTCGTAGTTTCCCAAATGGCTTTAAAAAAAAATATGCTGGCTAAACAGTGTTTATACATTTTTAGAAAAATCTAAGCACAACTAGCTTTTAAGCTCTGCATTTTCCCCAACAGGAGAAAAGTGCTTCAGAGAAATTGAAGATAAAGCATGGACACTGCTGCAGCCAGCTCTGCCACGCTAACAAAAGACTCCAAAAGAAAGCTTTTGACATATTTTCCATTCAGGAGCGGCCCCGTCCAACCAGTTGGTGAGGACAGGTTATGCAAACAAAAGGCTGTGCATTTTGTTCAGGCCTTAGGTAAGAACACCAAGTACAAGCTAGTGAGGAAATTTACCATTGGTACATGAAGATTTTTTAAGGATCAGAGGAACCCAGTTGACACCGAGACCCAGGATTTGTCCTTCCCGGCCACTAGGGCCCAGTCGGGTGCAGTCTCAGGCTGAGGCTTCTCCCATCTTAGTTTGATTGGTACAACTGACGCTGGTTTTACTTGCAGGTCCAGCCAGGAGTGAGGCTGAGCACCGAATCCACAACAGCAGATACCCACATATACACACATATACACACACACACAGATGAGAACACGGTGCCAGCAGTGCCTTTACCAGCATGCACATACACAGCAAATGTGCTCACATAAATCCAACAGCACAGCCCCATCTTTGTCCCTCTTCTCCAGCCAAATAGGACTGAAGCTCACCAGTGAGACATGCAGGCCCCCACACGCCCCAGCTTCACAAGAACACCACGCCTCTGGAGCCTTCAAACATCACCACGGAATTTAAGTTCATCTAAAATCCATGCCCAGACCCCGAGCTTCCTGACCCTGCCACTGGCTCATTATCTCAGCTCTTTCCAGGTGCTGGTTTCCTCCTACTTGCCAGCTAGCCCAGCTTAAAGTTTGCTTGTGAGTTGTGTTAATGAAGTTTGCACGCACAGCAGGATCCCTACAGCACCTGGCCCTAAAGGCATTGGCTAGCCCACAGCTGGCCCTCAGGTCCTACAGCCCCTATGGCCCATGGCCTCTTCTCCAGTTGCAGGTGCCTGGACCTCCTGGTAACACGCAGACACAGACCAGAAAGCAAGGTCAAGCAGAAGATCATCACAGAAAGGATTTAATAAGAAGCTGGGATAGACTGCAGGGATATGGCCAGTGCAGGGCCATCAGACAAGAGCGCTGCTTACATGAGACCGTCCCCTTTTATCCACCCTTCTAATCTTCCCACATCCACCTTGACTCTTTCCTTCCTCTGCTCCTGTCTCTTCCCAAACAACACGCCCCTAAATACTTTTTCCCATCAGTCCCAGTTTTGCTACATCGCTACCCCAAACTGGTATTTCTCATAACATTACCTGGGTCCCCTCAGCCTCGCATGGCGCTACTGATATAGCACAGTGGGCCTTGCAAGATTCCCCCCAGCCCCCAGCGCGCCCTTCAACTATAGGTGAGATTTGACCATCTTCCCCTTAAACATCAGTGAAATTCATCCACCTTTCACAGCAGCCATCTGTAATTTTTGTCACCTTCTCACTCTGTTACTTCCGTTCGGCAGTTTCTCATGGTCTTTTCAGTTGGCTAAACATCAGGCCAGGGCCTAGACATCTGCCTGCATAACATAAGAAGATTTATTTCAAAGACAGTAACAAAAAGAAGTGCAGATACCCTAAATTATCACAGGTTCAATATGCTGACAGCGCTAAAGAAATGTTTCAGTGAAACAGTCAGAGTGCCGTTATCTACCGCAGCCAAATGTCTGGTTCCAGGTTTCATACAGCTCCAGGTCCTTCGAGGAGACGCTGGGCCGCACGGTTCTCAAGGCACTCTCAAAGTCCAGAAAAGCAATAGGCCGTACTTGGTCCGGCATGATGGTTGCAATGTCCATGGACTGAAGGCTGCGGATAGGGCCCAGAGAAGCTTCTCGACAGAGCTGTGTCATGTCTGCCCCAGAAAATCCATTTGTTCTCTTAACTATCAGTTCAATTTCCTCTTCATTTAGAGAGCAGTGCTCCTTTGACATCAGGCGGGTAACAATCTGCCTCCTAGCTGAGGCTTCTGGGAGAGGAATGTACAGTCTCTTCACTAGTCTCCTCCGGGCAGCTTCATCGATTTCTTGGGGCCGATTCGTTGCTCCAACCACTAGAATACGGTCTTCAGAGGAGGTTGTTGCCCCATCCAGCTGGACCAGAAATTCAGTTTTTATCCTTCTCGATGACTCATGCTCTCCATCTCCACGCTGAGACAAGAGAGAATCAATTTCATCGATGAAAATCACTGCTGGCTGTTGACATCGTGCCACAGCAAACAGCGCACGGACCATCTTTTCCCCCTCGCCTACCCACTTGGAAGTCAGAGAAGAAGCACTGATGCTAAAAAAAGTCGCTCCGGACTGGCACGCAATGCACTTGCCTATGAGAGTCTTGCCAGTCCCAGGGGGACCAAAGAGAAGAATTCCTTTAGGAGGGCCACGTAACCCAGTGAAGATGTCTGGCCTCAGCATAGGCCAGACTACAATTTCTTTTATGGTAGCTTTAGCAAATTCAACTCCAGCAATGTCGTCCCAGTTGACAGGTGGCCCATGATCCATGATCTCGTGCATAATGAGTTCAACCATTTTTGGTTCTATGTTTTTCAGTCGTTCATCTACAGGCAGCGATGGATCTGTTGGTCCTCTTGCATGGGGTTTATACTGTGCCCCTCCATTCTCATTTCCGTCTTGTTTTGGAACTGGAGGAACAAACTTGCCAAATGGGCCCCGAGATCTGCCTGCACCCAGCGATTTTTTTACACCTCCGTATGAGGAGACTGGTGCACGCTGGGGGAGGTTTTGAGATTTCTTTTGCTGATCCACCCACAGCTGTTCTTTTGCAGTTCTAAAACCAGGAACGCTGCTCTCTTCATTTCTGTTTCTATTCCCTGAAAAACTACTGGTTTCTGTACTAATGGAAGGCTGGCATGGAGCAAGGCTAGGAATCACTGTGCTGCCTTCATCAGCCAGACCATAAAATGCTTTTCTTTTTCCAGAACTTGCAGACCGCGCAAGTATAGCTGACTGACTGGAAAGAGACAAATTTTGTCCGTCATGACAGTTACTCGGCATTTGCAGAGAACTACTGCTTGCCGCTTCTTTACTTCCAAACAGCGGAGTTGCCTGGAAACCTCTAGGAACCTGTTCGTTTAAGGGGGCTGAAGAGGCAGGAAGCGTATCCGAAGTTTTGGTCGCAGGAGGCACGCTGCTTTGGAGAGACTTTGAAGATGAGGGATGCTCAGGGAGATCCGGTCCCCGACTTGCACATTTTGCTGAGCCAGCACAGAGCTCAGTCTCCCCAGCACTGCTGAAGATATTGCGTTTAGGAAGACCTGGAGCAGCAGAGGCACTGACCCCTTTATCAGCGAGGACACAGGCATCTGTTGGTGCCATCTGAGTGCTTTGGAACTTTCTGCCAGCCTGCATCCTCTCTTGCACACACTTTAATTCAAATACATTATCTGCTGTCAAGGCAGATTGCCACTTGTCACTGTCATTTTGCTGACACTTTGCCAAAGTCAAAATGTTTTCAGCATAGTTATTCAAGCCAGTCTCTATGTTGTCAGAGTCAATAATTGCAGAGTATTTCTCTGCGTATTTTTTAAACAGGTTGGCAGCACAGACCTGAGAGATCTCGGAGTTTGCCCATGCATACTGAATACGCAGGATTTTGGCACGGTACTCATCTGCCTTCTGTCCGGGTGTGCAGGTGCCAGAGGTAATAGCAAAGTAACTTTTCTGCCAGTCACTCAGGTGCACGGTGCTGTGGGTGGGGGTTTCCATCACTGACACTGCAACATACATAGAATACCTGCTGTTATAAAATGCATTTCACAGCTGTTTGCTTTGGCTGTTTTCCCCCTTTCCTAAACACATACACACAAAAACTTACATTAATTTAATTGAGAGAAATAGCACAGCAGATCTTGTAAGCTACTGAGCCAGTCTGGACACTTTACCATTTCCAAAAAGCAACCGGCTTTGTCGTGTAAAGCCACTTGGTCTGAGGTTCTCTTTTCTTCCTTGTTCAAAGAAAGAAGAGAGGAAAAAAAAAAAAGAATGTTTGCTTCTAACCAGAGGTCTCCTGGGGAGGTAAGTAGACTGCAAAGAATGGTAACAGATGGCCAAACAAAAATTGGCCTTGTTAAATGAAATCACCAGTGCTTTCACTCTTATTTGACAGAATATGGCACAGTGCAGAGGAGGACAGATTACACATCACTGTCAGAATGATAAAATGTATTACAGTGATGGTAATAAAAATGAAACAATGAAGCTAATAAATAAAACTGTATGTGAAATCTGTGATGGGAGGTAAAAGTGGAAAGAATAAGCCTGAATTTAGTAAACTTTCAGATTAAGAAGATATTTACAGATTCAGAGCAAATGTTCAGAACTATTTATTCCATTGAGAACATACTAAAATCACCCCATTTCATATTTCAGAGAAACAAAGCTCTTGTGTGTTTAAAGCAACACTTGTTTCTCTGTTTTAGAAAGCGGAATTTAAATTCCTTCAGCGATTTTTTAATTTAGGGAAGATGACATTTGGCTAGACTTGAAGAGATACGCTCATGTTTACAATGTATTTTCAAAGTAGTTTTTCTCTGCGATGCATCATATGCAGGAATAGTTCTGGTCACATCAAGAATTCACAATTTCAGAAGAGACACAGGTGCAAGCAAAATCAGAGGAATCCACCACTGCCTCAACAGGGTTTGCAGACAGCTCCCAACGCACAGTAATCCTGATCTTCTCATCTGTCCATAAGGGGCATACGTGTAATACACGACATGACCAAAATGCATCAAATTCTAATTTCCCTTTTTTTAACTTCAGTATGTACCGGGATGTTCCTAACAGAGAATACTTGAAACACAAACTGTTAAAGTGGAGGTCCCTATGTTCTGCACCCCTTCCAACAGAGTACAAGTCAACTTGCAATCTTCTTCTGAACCAGCTACAGACCATGTATGAGTGCCTATTAATGTACAGGTGTAATGTACATGCAAGACTGGGGAGACAGTCCTGAAGGAATAAGGGGAGCGGGGGGGCCTCTCTATTTACTCTCCAGAAGTCTTGCATCAGTGTAAGACAACAGAGAGCACAATATGATTATGGCAGCAGGAGTTACGCACAAAATAAACAATAAGGAGATAAATTGTTTTGGTTTGGATTTTTTTGCACTTCAGCCCAGCTTTGTAACAGGAAACTCAAACCAACTTTTACCTGGAAATTTGGTGCCTTTACATGGAAAGCCAATTAAAAAAAAAAAAAAACCAAACACCACAAAAATAAGATTTCCTCTAGAAAATTACTGTCAACTCTTCTACTGTGAGAAGTCTAACTTGCACCTACCGAATGAGGAGCAAATTTCCACCATAATCCATCTGCGGCTGAGTGACAGGTGAACAGGAGATGGAGGGCTGCAGCCTTTTATTTCTTTTCTCTAAATAGCTACTAAACAACTTACTAAATAACTGTCACTGTGCACATAACTTTTTTGTAACTGTTGAATCAAAAACATCTTACGAAACATAAAAGCCAAGTTCAGAAAAAGTTTAGTGGCAGGCATTTGTTCCCATGAACTATCTCCATAGATTTACATCAGTCAGAATACAAAATCTCCCATTTGCCACCTCTTCCTTAAGAAGTCGTCCGCACGGTTTTCCTATTTTTCCCCCAAGAGCTAGACAAATGCGTACACGGGCAGTCAGTCCCCCTTCAACAGCCAAAACTGTTCCTAGATGTCGTGGGCATCATACTTTCACCTAAGCGTCTGACGTTGCGGGGTTTATCAAAGCACTGACAGCAATGAATTTCTGGCACGTTCAGCCTCAGCAGAGGGGTAAGTACCTACCCGACGTGCCTGCAGGATGTCATTACATTCATACGCAAACACGGATACCCGTTCGGCACACGGGGAAAGCCTGCTTGCCCACAGGCAAGAAAACCAGGAGGGAAGCACGCCGGCTGCCCAGGCAAGGCTTAGCCCCCTCCGCTGCTGCGGTGCACGCACGGGCCGATACCGCCCAGCACCCGGGGCAGGGCCCCTCAGCTCAGGTGCCCTCACTGGCACAGCTTCAAGCAGGTCAACCGCCCGCACCACACCGGGGGAGGGCAAGTCGAGACTAGAGCCCC